CACACACACACACGCACACACACACACACACACACACACACACACACACCCCCCCTCCGCCCCTTCCCGCCCTGAGGCGCGACCGTGGGGCCGGGCCCGCAACCGGGGTGTTCCCCGGTTAAAACCGGATTCTCCGGAGGAATTAAACCCTAAAACCGGCCAGCCTGGCTCTGAAAACCTCCCCGAAAGCCTCCCCTTGCGGGCTCGCTGTGCCTGCGGCTCTGGCACTGCCGCCGAGCCGGCATGAGTTGGGGTGTTGCCCAGCGTGTCCGTGTAGGCCTCAGGCGGCTGGCAGTCACATAGGGGGAAGGAAAATGATGTTTAAAAGGGAAATGAGGTGATGATCAGTGTGCTGGAACGCACAGGCAGGGTGTGACAGGTTAGGGAGGGAAGGGCCGGTCTCCATGCCGGCACGGGCGGCCTGCGCCCCGCCGAGGAGCAGCCCGAGCCCCCAGAGCAGGCCGGGGGTCACGGCACACCCTCGGCCCCGGACGGGCTCGTCGACTGAGGGCAGCATGGACAGGGCTGAAACAGAGCCAGGAAACATCGTTTCCCCACAGTAAAATCTCATTTATTTTCTTTCCCCTCCACAAAGCAGCGTTCGCACCAGTTCAGAGTGGCCATCATCGTTACCACCCCTCGGAACGATTACCTTAGCCAAAAATAACATCTTTTCGATATTAAGTAGAGTCAGAAAGTGAATCAGACCAAGACACCAAGAGCAAGCTACGTCTTGCTTTCCAGATTCACTCCACCATCACAAGTCCATTTGCTGAACAGAGATCTAGCGAAATGTGACTGGAAAAGCAAGGGCTTGGGGGATGACTCATTACAGAATCCATCAAGAAAGTGGAAAATAGGGAAATAACTATCTAACATAAGGGTGCAATTCCACTGAAGCTTTTAGCAACTGCTCATATTGTCAACCATAATAAAAGGGTCTGGCCGTCCTGTCACCAGAACATCCTAACAGAGCTCCATGTGCTGCACATACAGCCACATTTATCTGGGTGAAGTTAACTTCCATCGGACATTTAGAAAAGATCGCATTACCGTCAATGAAAGAAGCAATCTGAAAGTCTGTGATGGCTCTAAAGATACTAAGTACATTTTAGGGACTGTAAAACCAGCATTAGTCTTCAGAGACAATGACGTGACTCAGAGCCAGATGTCTTACTCAGTTCTGATGATGCTTTTTTAACCTATTTTTATGATAGACTTTTTGCTCTTATGTTAGAGATATTTTTTTTCATGTTTTAGTGGAAAGAACTAAATACGTTTGTAAAGGGAACACAGGAACACATGAATCTGCCTGCTCATGCAAACAGGCAGCTGTGCAGTCCTTTTGTATATATAGACCATATGATGTAGGATTAGCACAAAGAGCCTTGGCTAGTTAATTTTTCTAAATACCATATTAAGTGTTATCCTTGTAAAGTACCAATGTTGCTTTAATTGTATTTGCTTTGAAATTATTTTACATGAAGCTGCTGGGCTTGCAGTGTGGCCCTGGTTGGGACCAGGAGCATGTCTTGGGTTAAAAACAGCTCCTTTGCTTCTCCCCCTGGAACGAGGGTGAGACATTTCTGGTAGAAGAGGAGATGCTGCTCACTAAGCCACAGCCCAGGGAGAGGAGGGAATGGCTGAAGGTGGCTTTTTTAACACTACCAGTCCAGGTTGATGTCCCTTCAGCACAACCCCAGCTGGCACCTTGGCGAGCGGTGACTGGAGATCTGCTTTAAAACCAGGAGAATCAAGCATCCTGTGAGTGTTTCAAGTCCTTACCTTCCTTAAAAGTGGAGTCAAAATCCCGTTGCGGAGAGCTTGGCTGCCAAAAGCACACACAAGTATTTTTGGATGCCCCCTTGTCTCTCATGTTACAAGGCTTTTGCCCGAGACCTTAGCAGAGGAAATATTAAAACTATCTAAGAGTACTTACATAGTGCAGTATAGTATTTCCCATAAAACAATGCACTAACTCAGAACAGAGGAGGCAGGGATATGTCTGGATAACAGACCTTTCTGACCTCAGTGTAGCTCAGGCTTCTCTGAAGCTGTAGCGAAAAAGTATGTGTGTAAAAAGACCTCGTACATTAATAAATTCTAAATTTAGCTGTATGCCTGCTGCTCTTCCTTTGTTTTTTTATGAATGAAAAAATAATCACACCAGATCCTAGCAGTGCAAGAACGGAAGCCAAAAACCAAGGCACGCCAACAACCAATCTGTGCTGTGCAAAGATTCAGCCAAAAGTCTGACCAGTTTCTTCACCATAGCCAAAAGATCATGCTACGCTACGGAGGTGGCGTCTGCTGAAGTAGCACCTAATTATGAGTCTTTCCTCAGTGTGTGCGCGGATGGAGCTTATAAACTGAGGATTTGGCCCCCTGAAGGAAATTAAAACTCCATTGTTGATGTTGGGCAGAAGCAGGGGGACTTTGGAAGCGAGGGGGCGGGGGGGTACAGGACTCAGATGAGTCTCCTGTGCTGGTTACACCTGTGGGCTCAGCGCTGGTGTTACTTGGCCACTGCCTGGTACCCAGCTGACAGCAAAATCATGGAGCGTTTGCTGACAGCAAAATTCCTGAGCACTTGTCAGGAAGCCATCCCGAATCAGAACCCCTGAGCGCTAGAGAAACGTGGTCCATCACCAGGAAAAGGTGTGAGTAAGATGCAAGATTGGCCAAACACGGGAAAAAGGCTACGAGGCTGGACATACACACCTCACTATGAACAGCCTGGGGTAGGATTTCCTCTGGGAATGACACACCGTGCAGAGCAGCAGTGGAAAGCTACGCCAGGTTACTGCACTCCACAGCGCTCCACGCACTCACGCTGCGTCTCCGCTCGGCATCTGCTCCCTGGATTGCAGGGAAGTTTGTCCGGCAGCCAGTTTAGGCCAGGCTCAGGTGTCTCTGTACAGGGCTGCCCCACGCAGGCGCAACAAACCCACAGTGTGTGAAACACGGAGGTGTCGACGACACCATGGCTTTGTGCTCTGATAATAACCTTGGCTGCAAACAAACTCCTGCTCTGAATGTTTCCCGAGCGGTCAGACCTGCGCCAGGCTCCTCCTGGAATGGGCAAAAGGCCCTTGGCACCTACACGGCTTTGGGAGCTCAGCGCTGCGAGGTCCTGAGCCCCCCTGACGCTGGTGCGCAGCCGAGCCCAGCGGGCCGGGGAGGCTGCAGGCAGCAGTCAGTGTTATTCAAGATTGCACCCCTTGAGGACACCAAAGCGCAACCAAGAGGAATGAAAGGATGAAAGGGTGGGATGGATGGTTAAATTCTGCCTCAGATAACCGAGACGAGGGTTAACGTGACATAAACACACAGTGTGCAGATGGAAAAGGTCTGTCATACCCAGGCGGCGGCTCCAGCTGTCTCTGTGCCAGGTTTGGGATACGAAAGCTGGATTCACCGGGAGCATCAGGAACACGATCCTGGGAGGAATCTGGCGGCTCGTGTTCCCGGTTAACGTAATTATGGTACAGTGGAGGCTGGTCGGCAGCGCTCGGAGCCGTGCCCAGCTGCACGTTCACAAGGTCATTTAAACTTCGGCAAACAGAACTAACTAGTAAATGCCTGGCTGGCTTATTTAAAACTAAGTGCACCCATATAGAATTAGAGGGGTCTGACTGCAGGGAGGGAGGAAGACACATATTCTCCCTTTCCTATCTTATTTAAAATGACCCTGCCCATGTTTTAATCAGATTTTCCAAACCGTTCAGGGATGCCCAAAAGAACCAGGGGATGTAAGGATGCAAACCGTAGCCCTTACTAAGCACTGGAGAGGCTTGCAGGAGTGAGGCAGCTTTTACAAATAAAAGCCTGGTGTGGGCTCTTGAGTCGGGCAGCTCTGCAAAAGCACTGAGCGACTGCAGCCCCGATCGTTTACATGCACAGGAGGCACTGTCCAGGCTGAAACATCTTTTAAATAATACCTGTGTTTTACGCTTTTTAACCAAAGTTTGGCCCCCTCCTCAACAAATGAGTAAGCTCTTTTGTAACCTTGGCTCTCAGCAATGATGAATCCCCCCACGTTCCCTCTTTAAACTAAGGGGAAAATCCTGCAAGTCCTGAGAGCGCAGGGGAAGATGCCGATAGCTGCAGCAAAGCTCAGCC